AAAAGAATATTTTATATATAATTTTATATATTTTATATATTTTATTGTGCTTTACTTATTTCTGTTGAAACATATGAATGAACTCTGTTAAATATTTGACTTATATATATATATCTATATATTCTCATTTACAGTGTATATTTTATGTACATATAAACTTTACATTGAATTTACAGTTTACAGGCGATAGTATCACTTCTAGATAATAACAGAATGGCAATATTGTCACCCAGCAAATAATGTGTCACCCAACATATAAGATAATCGTTATTTTGTCGATATTTCGAGTTTGTTCTCGCGTAGCAAGCCGAGAACGTTCTTGTGGTTGAAGGTCGACATATTTACAGTTGGCAAGTAACAGATAAATTTACATTATTATGATTAAATCAACATGTAAAAATATTTAAATACATGTGCACTCTAAACATATTGTTTCACTTTTGGAATTTATAACTATTTTGTGACAATATTCTATTTTCTATATTCGAAAAATGTATTACAATCTTTAGCTTTTTAATTAATCTTCACTCATAAGAACGTTAAACTATAAATATTCTAAATATTATAAGTGTTGTATTTCAAAAATAGAATGTTAAAACTATCAGATTTACAATATTTTATAATCTGTTCTTAGACAATCTTATGATCTCTATGTTTAAGTTCGACTCGTATAATTTATATAAATTTAATTACTTTTGATTATCTGAGATCAGATACAAGTTCCTATTCATCTTCTTTACCTTCCAAATATATAAGATTCAAACTTCACAAAGTTAATAAAATCAATGAATAGGAATTTTTATCTATCCTCAGATAATCAAAATTAATTAATATAATTACACAAGTCAAACTTCACCATAAAAATGTAGCATATCAATATACTATATATATATACTATACATACTATTGTATTATATATTTTATATATTTATATATGTAATACATATATATATAGATACAAGATGTCCGACAATTAGTGTAAAATCTCTTGCTTCTAGGCAGGTAGAAGGAGTAAAACTAAGTAAAAACGTCCCCTGAACTATTTTTTGGCTCAATTCCATTATATATAATAAAATAGTAATTATTGAATAATTCAAGCCAATCAGCGACGACTTTCAGCCGGGCGCACGTCAGGGAGCCGCGCGGAGCGCTCATGCACACTAGGCTTGTGGTCCACTGACGTGCGTTTGGCTAAAGATCGACGCTAAAATATAAATATATAATATATATATTATATATAATATTAATATATTATATATAATATATAATATATTATATATTATATATTATATATTATAGTTTAATATATATAAT